CCCCCCTTTCCCAACACCCAGGATCCTTAGTTATAGCCCTCAAAGACAAGTTCTTCTAATCCCTTATTACTTATGAAAAAAAGAGGAAAGTGGGTGCAGCTTTTAAAAATCATAGTAAGAATGCCTTTAAGCCCACAGTGGCTGACTTGTGGAGGCTTTGCAGAACATAAAACAAATACTGTAACTTTGACCAACAGAATATTTGAAAGTGTGCTTCTGAATTCTATTGGCTCTCTGTCTTGCATTAAGTAAAAAAGAGATGCCTGCCAATTTAGGCTTTGAAGTTATACTGTGGGGACAGTAAGTAGAAAAATGTCAATTAAGCCTCACATGTGGAAATCCCCTCATAAGAACAGGAAATATGCTTATTTTAGTGCCCACTGATGAAAGCAGTCCATGTTTCTCAAGAAATTACTTCTGCCTTCAAAACATTATCTGTAGAAATGGAAAATACATAGGAATATTATCTACAGTATATAGCCCTGCAACCAAAGTGAACACATCTCCAGGGGAAGGCTGATCAAATACAGTCTATGCCACCTAGCGTAATCTTGTTTTTTAAATGTATACTTCTTATACCACATTTTCTCATATTTAAATCTTATCTATTTTAGAAGAAGTTATTTCTAAATAGGCATACTTATGTATGGTTTAGACTTCTTGATTTAAAAGAGGGCAGGAATAGCTGTTTCTAAGGGGGGTAAACCCCCACATTGCTATCTTTGCAACATCATTCTTGAATACATGTGTTTGGGGTGTAGACCCTTCATCTCATTAGCTGATAGTCAGATCCTCCTCCTGTCCCAGATTCAAATCCTTCTCTTTCTGAAGCTCTCTTTGTCCTTGTTTGCTCTACAGCAGAGAGGAGAGCAGTGTTTTCCTTCTTGCTCCCTGTTTATCCAGCCATTCCTTCTAATGCACTTTATTTATAAGTATATGCCTGCAGTAAATGAGATTCCACTCCTGCCTTCTCAATTCCATCCACTAAACCAGTGATGGCTAACCTTTTTGCCGTCATGTGCCCAAAACGGGGGGAGCACGGGGGTCATGCACATGCGTGTCCACACCCATAATTCAATGCCCCCCTGTGCCCTGCCCCCCCATGCACGCGCGACCCTCTCCATGCTCCCCTCACTTTTGGCACATGACGGCACAAAGGTTACCAGTGGGCCCGATAGGCCTGTTTTTCACCCTCCTCAGGCTCCAGAGGCTTTCTTGGAGCCTGGGGAGGGCAAAAACGGCCTTCCCACACCCTCGGAAGCCCTCCAGAGGCCGGAAACCGCCTGTTTCCCGACTTCCGGTGGGCCCGGAAGGCCTGAAAATCAGCTGGCTGGTGCACGCATGCATGCTGGAGCTGAGCTAGGGCAATGCTTGTGTGCCCACAGATATGGCTCCGGGTGCCACCTGTGGCACGCGTGCCATAGGTTCGCCATCACAGCACTAACCTTTTCCAATCAATTTTGTCATCCTCTCTTCTCTGTTTTTGGTCACCCCCATTTTTTTTTCAGGGAATAAAAAAGGCAGCTCTTGTTGAAACTTCCTTAAATCCATTCCATTCAAGTGTCTCTTCCTTCCTTCCTTCCTTCCTTCCTTCCTTCCTTCCTTCCTTCCTTCCTTCCTTTCCTTCCTTCTTTCCTTCCTCCCTCCCTCCCTCTCTCCTTCCCTCCCTTCTTCCTTCCTTCCTTTTCCTCTCTCTCTTCCTTTCCTCTCTCTCTCTCTCTTCCTTTTTTTCAGATTTGAAAGCCTGTACCCTAGAAGGGGCCTCCCACTCCCAGCTTTTTGCTGGCAACCTTGCTTTTGCCTGATTGCCACAGATAGTGCTTTGGAGAGAAGAAAAAGAGTTGAATACAGGAAAAGAAAAAGCAAGAAAGAGAGAGAGGAGGGGGGTAATTCAACCATGAGATTTCAAAACAGTTCATGCTAGCCTTTGAAGACCCCTATTTGTGTAAAATCAGGACATGAATTTTTTTTAAAAAAATAGAGAGTTTTCTGAAGTTCTCCCCCACTCCTTCCTTAAATGGACTATTTTTGGCACAAGTGTTTTTTTTCCTCCTTCTCTCTTACTGTCGGTGGGTTTAAAACACTTTCAAGGTATGTGTGCATGTGTCTCCTCTGAGGGCAGTGACTGCTGCAGGGTAAATACTGCATAGGGAAGCTAGGGGGCAGCGTATGCTTTAAGTAGTCTTACCCTACCTTTTCTTTGTTTTTTTCCTATTGCTTTGGCCAGCTTTGGCAGAAGGTTCTAATGCCTATAGGTCACTTTCTTGCACATATCAAACAGAAGTTTTGCTTTAAAGTAAATTCAAAAGGAAGAGGGAAGGGTTGCCCAAAACCTTAGTGGGTTGGGGTGGGGTAGAGAGAGAAACATTTTCCTTTTTGGCTTTGTAAACTTCACATAGTGGAACTGACCGAAAGCACGCCTGGGTTCCAGACTTTCCTTTACTCCTTCCTGGATTTAAAGGCAGAGAATACGAGGGTGCCAAGAATGTGATGTTAGCATAGTTTTTGCAGGAAGGAAATCCTAGGCACCTGAGCAAAAAGAAAGGAGATGAGGAAAAGGCTGTCAGTCCTTAGTACTTTTGTGGTGTCAGGAATGAAAACTGTCTGGTTTGCGTGAAATGAGCAGTGCAGAGGAAAAAGCATGCATGTGGCGCAGCAGATTTCAACGGATGGTTGGAGGGAGTTCTAAGTGCAGCTGCTATTTGAAAAATCGGTATGAATGAATTCTACAAGAGTTGAGCTCTTGTTTATAAAACCTGGTTTGGTTTTTTGTTCTTTAAATGAGACAATAAAGTGACAAGAACCAATGTAGCTTATGTTGATTTTGAAGTCCTGAGCACATAAGAGACTACCGGGAGAGGGTAGAAAGTTCTTTTATTATTTATAGATCTTTGTCCTTTTTCTTCTCATTCCTGTCTTCGTATGGCCTAGATATTCCAGTCTTTATACACTTTGCTATTTTTCATTTCAGTGGCAGCTCTTTTATTCTTATAGTGAAATTCCAGCTACAATATTTTAAGTTGAAATTCCTGAGTTTTGCAATTATTTAACAAGAAACAAACTCTTTAATATGACAATTCATGAGGTCAACTAAGGTACGAAGGAATTGTTCTTAGAAAATAGTATTTTGGACATTAAAGAAGAAACAGGTGCATCTATAAACATTCATTTGCATATCATCTGTCCTTATACCTGCATAGGAAAAATGTTACTTCTCTTTAAAAGGAAAGGCAAACAAATGTGATGTAGCAATCCAGAAATTTTAAATCCCATGCAGACAGTGCACAAACACACAATCCTGGAATTTATGAAGGCTTTACCATATTGCCTGCTCCGAAATCTACAAGAATACCCCCAGGTTTGGAGATCTGCATCTGATTTTATTTTTCGGCCAGATGGATTATCTTTTCCTCAGTTAGCAGATAGAGGGGAGCTGAAAATAGATAAACAAGCTGGCCAAAGGATGATGCCACTTGAATTCTTTTTGACATTGTCATAATTGTGTGGGTGTGTTAATGAGTTGTGTGTGTTGCACATCAAAAGCAGCCTGTGTGTTTCTAGTAAAGTTATATGTGCGCGTCATTCGCTCTGCCACCACCAGATTCAATGTGCTGTGTAACTCCACCTGACTGTATAGCGCCGGCCTCACCAGACAGCTTTCCTGTACTACTCTGGCTGTTTGGCCTCTGCACCAGTCTAGAGGAGATGGAAGTTTCATCACTCCACCCCATATTTTGGAAGGCAATAATCTTGTTGCTCATCTCCAGCAAATGTTTAGTATTAACTAATTCTCTTATTCCAAAAGATTCTCAGCATATCAGCTGCAAGGGGAGATCTCTCCTGGGCTGCTTAGGCAGTTATTGGCATCTCTTTAGAGCCAACTGCAAGGCTTTGATTGAATGTAATAGTTTTGAATTAAGCTGTTAATTGGATCTCGGCATTACTGACTTACATAAAATGAATCATAAAATGCCCTCGCTTCTAAGCACATTTTTCTTCTTCAGTATCTTCTGGTTAAAGCTTCAATGTTGTATTGAAATGAGTACATTCCACTGAACTCAATGGGACTTACTTCAGAATAAACAAACACAGGAATCAAGCAGCAGGTCCAGAACATTACTTTGGACTGTTTGAATTGTTCCAGGCTACCAAAGACAATGTTCTTAGTGTCAGGATTTTATTGGAAGATCAAGTACCATCAACAGCCTGTAGTACAGTGGACTAAAGCACTGTTATTAACAGATTAACATCTGCTGCCTGCAATTACTGCAAGTTCAAATCTCACTAGGCTCAAGGTTGACTCAGCCTTCCATCCTTTCTAAGGTAGGTTAAATGAGGACCCAGATTGTGGGGGCAATAAGCTGACTTTGTATAAAATATACAAAAGTATGAAGGCTATTGCTTAATGCATTGTAAGCCGCCCTGAGTCTCCGGAGAAGGGCGGCATATAAATTAAAAAGCAAAAAAAAAAAAACAAACCATGTTTTTTTTTTGCAAGATAAGCTTCTGTGAAAATGTATTGAGGACAAAGATCTCCAGCAATTCATAAGACCACATAACTCCAAATCTAGAGGGTAAACATAATTATCTGCAAGTTAAAACACATATCTTTTTGCATGCAGTTGAATCCAGCATATGTTTTTGGGAATTGGGTACCAAGAGTTGAAGGAACCTTGTGCTCAAGTAAATGTGCATTGGGCTAAAAGTAATTATGCAGTGCAGGAGACACTGATATGAGATGGGAATCAGGGCTGCTGCCTGCCTTGTTATGTACTTTAAAAATAAGCATATCGAGCCTAACAGTCAGTTTCACTCTGTGGTGGCCCCTTTAGGTACTGTCTCCTGGAAATAAGCCCTGTTGATCACTGCAGATACAGTAGAAGAGACTTTGGCTTCCATCTTCCCCAACCAATATAGTCCTTAGTGAGGACCAAGCTGTCAAAGAAACTGCAAGCAATTCCCAAAGCAGTGGGGAGGAGCCATAGATTGGAAGGTGGGAGTCAGGATAGAAGGGGCAGGGAGGTGGAGTAAAAAGACAGAATTTATGAGGCTGGTCAATAGCAGCAGCAGCATCAATCTTTTCAAGAAGGTAGGGGAACTCCTGCGATCCAACCCTCTTCTGGCTACCTTTGTTTCTCTTATTCAGTAATCCAGCTGGACTCCTAGCTGCACGTCACCTGAAAAAATTGGGGATACCCACAGCACGGAACCGGCAGATCGTCGGCACCAACCTGCCTCTGACCTCAGGAGCGCAGCTTTTTGTTGTTGTTGTTGTTGTTGTTTTTGGAGAAGAGGAGGAAGACTCGCACCTGAGAGCCCGAAAGGCAGAAAGAAAGCGAGCGCGAGAGAAAGCGCGAGAGATCGGGGAGGGAGCGAACAAAGAGGCTTTGAGGATGCTCTAACGATGCCGCGGGCGGCCACTCGTCCTCACGGAGCCTTCTGGGAAGGGCGTTGCTGGCCGAAATGATGCTCCAAATCTTTCCTCGGCGCGCCAAGCAGAGAGACCGGAGGCAAAACACAACCTAAGCCTAGGAGCGCTCCGGAGCAAAAGAAACCATCCCGTGAAAGGGATCAAGTCGGGTTCGGGAAGGGCCTAAAGCAGGAGAGCGCCGTACGAAAGCTGCGCGTCGGAGGATGGCCGGTCCACCTGCCTCGTCGCTCCTGGTGGCGGTCGTGTGGCTGCTGGCGTTAAAAGGCGCCCACCCCTCCTGGGGAAGGCAGGGCGAAAGCCGGTCTGCGGCATCCCTGGACGGGGAGCCCTGCTGGGTTAGCAAAGCCAGAGCCGCCACTCTCCCACAGCACCCTTATGCGAGCTACCCGCGTCCGACTGTGGGAGCGTCGGCGTCGGCGGGGCACAGAACGGCGCCCTCGAGGCTCCGCCGCGCTCCCAGTTCCGACGGGAGCAGCGTGGAAGACACGTGGGAAGAGAGCAACGTTTTCCCGCTACGCCAAAGCGCAAAAGCCGGCCCTTCTGCCCCAGCTGCGGATTGGGCGCCGGATTCCGTCGCGGCGCTTTACTTCTCCGGCAGAGCCGAGCAACTACTGTTGCGGCCGGGAGCCGTCGCCGAGCTGCCCCGTGGCGAATTCACCATCGAAGCTTGGGTGAAGCCCGAGGGGGGGCAGAGCAATCCGGCCATTATCGCAGGTAAAGTTGTGGAAGTGGGTTAGGCTAGGCCCGAGGTTAGACGTCTCGGCGGGCGTTCATAATTTATACGGAGATGGTGGAGAACGGAGGTTCGTAAGAAGCCTCAGGGCAGAACTGGGCACAAAGTCGGGACACGTGACACGGACCCGTATCTCCTGCCGCGGATCGAATAGCCCCCGAAGGGTTTTTCAGTCGGGTCGATGTCTTTGGGCTTTGCGTTACTTGAAGTTTCCAATATTGTATCTGTGAGAGGGGAGAAGGGACATCTGCAAGCAGCAGAGAGCCAGAGTAGTTCCTTTCAAGCCTAGAATCCTGTGTGCTTGCAGTTGGCTTGTCAGTGTGCAGCTCCATATACTGGTCAAAATCACGATTAAAAAAAAAACCCAAGCAAGGACGGCTAATAGCTATAATAATAGATAGTTGGATTGGTTTTCATCGGTAAATATCTTTTCCCTCCCTTCTATACTTTATTTTGCAGCGGACTGTCATGTGTACTCTGTATGCAACAATAGCTTTTGCTATTTAAAGCTACTTTGCATGCATTATTCAGAAGGAAACTCAGTGAATGCTGAGAGAGAGAGAGAGAGAGAGAGATTATTACTGCCCTGTTTTGCTGATTAGTCCGGTAAAATCCGTGATTTTGTTTTGGAATTGTGAAAACAGTTTAGGATGGGAAATACTTAGGAGGCTTCAGTTGGACCTGGTTAATACTGTGTTGCCCATCCAAGGATTTAGACTAGACTGGAAGCTGGGAAAATATCAGTGACAAACCACTTCCTACTGTTGCCAAGAACATTATACCACCTCGGTTTCAGTGCTGTTGTCCTTTATCCTGCCTGAATTGCCACTGTGATCACACATCTGCTAACAGGCAGTGACAGTTGTTGAAAGAACACTCAGTAGTTGATTATGGGATCCTTGCTGAGTGACAAATATTGGCGGGTCTATGAGTGGTCATAGAGTTTCAGTTCCTGGAAGGTCCTATTAAGTACAGTAGCAGCATTTCAACTATGTAAGCAACTGATGGAGCAGATGAAGTGTGTGAGAGCAGGAATATGTGAAGAGTAAGTAAGCTGTATGTACACATGCATACGAATCTCCTTAGACTAAGTCATCAATAGATCAGCCTTGTGGGCTAAAAAAGATTCTTGCCTCCTTTTGGAATAGATTAAAACACTAGAAAACAAAAAACTAGGTTCTGGGTCTATATTATGAGGAGAATGTAATTGGTTAAGAGTAATGTTACAGAAAGCCTCCTCCAATATGTTCCTGCTAAATGCTTGTTTTAACAGCCCCTCCCTCCCCCCCCCCAATGTGTGATGACTGACTGCACCTAAATAGGTTTTGTTTGTGGTAGTCTCCCTGGTGCTTTGGATTGGCTTTCCCAGTGAGGCATGCCTGATGATTTTCTTATCTTTCTAGCACCAGGCAAGATATTTTTATCCTCCTGTACCTTTTAATATAATGCCATGTCATTTTAAATGCTTGGTATAAAGAATAAAGTAATTTCTGCCCTTGTATTTTTTAGACTAATGTAAACTTAAATTAAACTTTTTAATTTAAAAAGTGAGATTGCAATTTCAGTATATTGTAAGCCATTCTGGGAGAATTCTGTTTTGAAGGGTGCCATGTAATTTTTTAAAAAATAAATAAATTATGCTATCCCAGAATTTTTCATCAAGCTGGATGATAGATAAAGCTAGGCATGGGAGGGAAGGAAGGAATTATGAAAAAAAAAAATCCTGCAGTCCACCAAATATTGTAACCAGCATGTTCGCATTTAGACCCAGTTGCAAGGAGGAAGTCATAGATTAATTGAATCAAACTGCTATATGCTATAGATACCAGATTGCGGGATAAAGGACCAGTGATTTATCTTGCTGTTACTTCTCTTTGCCTCTAGCTTGGATAATTTCTTCCTGACCAGACACAAAGCAAATGTAAAAGTTAAAGCAAAAGTAAAGAGAAATTTAATGATTTTTATCATGAGATTACATTAGATAATGAAGTAGTTAGTCATTTGATGCAAAATGCAGTACTATCCAGCAAAATGAATTGGGTTGCAAAGTGTTTAAAGTGTTTGTTTACTTTATTACAAACTGTGAATGTTACAGTTTTTCTTGAAATCACGGACAACAAGGATGCTTTGAATTCATAAGGCCCAGGGTAAGCTTCCCCAGTTGGGGATTGATGCATTATGCATATGTATTTTTTCTTTTCTGGTGCCTCTGAGTCAGTTTTTGACTCCTTCTGGATTGCCTGGACAAGTCCTGCAGTTTTCTTGGCAAGGTCTTTTTTTAAGTTGTTTGGTATTGCCTATTTCCTAGGGCTGAGAGAATGGGATTGGTCTAAGTCACCCAGCTGGCTTTGTGTCTAAGGCAGAACTCATGGTCTCCTGGTTTCTAGCTTGATGATTTAATCACCACACCAAAGTGGCACTCTATATGTCATGTAGATTGTACTATTTGATGCGTCTAAGTATGTATTAATTTATTTGGCTTGCTACATTAAAGACAAATAAGTAAAAACAATGGAGACAGAACCTAAGCATTTGCAGATAAACGTAGTGATGAAATCGGGAAGGGCCTCATTCATGGTCTTTGAGGTTTACTGTATAGAATACAGGATACAAATAATAGAGTTGAAATCCTATTGTAGTGAGAATAAAGATTATTGAAAGTTAGTGTGATACAGCTTGTAATTTTATTGATTTGTGTAATTTTATTGGCCACCCACTTTCAGTGGATTTGGGCAGTGCCCAGAACTTAAGAAACACACACAAACAGCTAAAAATGTTAAATCAACATATAACCCAGATTAAAATTCTCTGATAAGAACATCGACAAAGCAGGAGCCATTAAACAAATAACAAACATCAGCCCCTGCTATTAAAATTATAAAAGGATGTGCTATTTTTTTCAAACTTGAAGGCTACAGCAAGCCTTTGAGTCACATGCTTATAGAGGCATATTCTAAAACAGCAGTATGTAAAACATGGACAAAAGCTAAATTTAATAGAATTTAAATTCCTTTAAATCATATTAAATTACATGAAATTAATTACCCTGTGATAATGCAATTGCTTAACAGCTTTTGAAGCAGATAAGAGGACTGCTCCCAGAAGGTCACATAGGTTCCTTCTGAACATAGGTACAGATTGTATATATCTGAATTAAATCAATTTCTGCATGTAATATGTGCACAAATACTGTATGGTATTATGCATCAAAACCATGAAAGTGAAAATGGAAATCCAGTTGAAGATTGGGAATATGAACCTAACACCGTATTTCTGGAAAACACAGTAAAAGTTTTTTGAAACGAAACAAAACTTCAGTAGAAGAAGGTCTTGCTGGCAATGAAGGATTCCAGTATTTCTGACATCTTACTGCAACATTCATTATTATTTTTTCTTCATTTTGCTTTGTTGAGAATCTCAATTTTCTGAATCTGGAAGAGGATGACTTTTGATTAAAAGATGAATATATTTGATAAAGTGGAATTACAAAGAACTTTGAGGAACAGAGACATCATCATGGTGTTTTTTTTAAAATATACTTTATTAATTTTTTAAAATTGTAGAAAACATCAAATCTCCATTAACATCCAAGGTGTCGTGTATTTACATATTTGCAAAATATATATATCAGATAAATTCAAAGCTACCATTACTAAAGATAAGCATATCCTAACATCACGATCTTATTCTATTATTCCACCATTTATACCACCTTTCTCATACTGTAGTATCATCATGGTTTTTATAATGGCAAGGATTATCAGAATTGAGTCTATTTAGTTGTGTAAGCTGAATTTTCAGAGAATTAAAAAAGTTGTATGAGATTCCATAGCTAGAATTTACGAAGAAGAGAAGAATTCAAAAACTTTTACATAAGAATGGAAAATAGGAGATACACATAAGTTCTCTGATAATATTTTAAAATGATATGATCAGGAATAATATATAACTCAAGATAATAGATTAGTTGGAACTTTTAAGGAAAATATCTGACCCAGAAAGAATTAAGGCTCTTGAGAGGTACTGAGACAAGTAAAATAACTTATACTTGTATATGCTGAGGTTGATATTTTATTAGAGTTGAAGTGAAGATTGAATTACTCAATATCTGGGTTGCTTTATCTTCACCCCAAGAACAGTTATGTTCAATTGGGACAAGAATATCAGATAATACAAGAAGTTGTTGTTTGCCAATATATATTTAGAGAACTTCTTTTTTTTTTTTTTTAGAAAAAAATAAGCTCTGGTTTTAAAGATCAGATGAGTTAATTGTAGAATTATAAAAGGACCTCTATCTATAATACTTTAGAAATTACAATATGAACATCAACTATATACCAGAGAAATAGAACCAGAAAAATATCCCCATTTTCAATTAAGGAAGAAAGATGAATGCAGGATAGGATAGGATAGGATAGGATAGGATAGGATAGAATTCTTTATTGGCCAAGTGTGATTGGACAAACAAGGAATTTGTCTTGGTGCATATGCTCTCAGTGTACATAAAAGAAAAAGATACATTCATCAGCAATCATAAGGTACAACACTTAATGATAGTCGCAGGATACAAATAAGCAATCAAATCATATTAAGAAACAGTCAATATATATAGTAAGGATACCAACAACAAGGTTACAGTCATACAGTCATAAGTGGGAGGAGATAGGTGATAGGAACGATGACAAGATTGACAATGATAACAGAAAACAATATAGTAGTCAGCATGGGGTTGGTAAGGAACAGAACTCAAGAACATATTAGTCACACTACATATCTAGAACACAATTTATTGATTCCCAAGAATCACCAAATTTTAAACTAAATAATTAAAAAGATTAATGATTTATATCGTATTAGCCCAGTGGATCATAAGTAAATATGTTTTATTCATAAGATCACACAACATTGGCTAAAGGCTAATAGGTTGCCATTATTTGTTAGGAATAAAAAAAATATATTTGAAGGCAGTATTCCTGCTGAT